AATATCAGAAAACCCAAAAGGGATCACACTGTCAGTCATGTTAATATAGGTATTACGATATTATAAATATCTATGAATGAATATTTTACATAAAATAAATTTAAATTACAACACACAAACAATACGAATTTTAAATTAAAACCAAACTTATTTTCATAGTACGTCGATATAAAAATACAATTTATTGGTTTCAAAATGTTAAAAATTAATAAAACATATCGTGAAAACTATTGTAAGAAAATCAACTAATACACTACCTATAAAAACCACTAATACTAGTCTACTGTCAAGCTTTTTACTTATTTTTACTTAATTTTATAATAATAAACAACAACAATCAATTTCAATAAGAGAAAATAATACGACGTTTTTAATCAGTCTAAGTATATTTAATATTCATTACTCATTAGTGGTTTGTACTTTGTAACAAATAAATTAGTTGAAAATATGCCAATTTATTTACCTTTATTATGTTCTTGTAATAGCTAAGTAATTTTTACATTTTTTTATTCAGATTTTTGATAAAAGTAAAAGAGGTTATCTTTAATTAAAGCTTATTGTACCTTATGAAAAATATTTTCATACTTAATTTTATTTGCTTTTATTAATTTATAGTTAATGATATTGATATATATTTACATATCATATTAATATATGCATGCATTCGTGTACGTTTTTCGTATAATATAAGACCTGTAAATATTTTGATCAGAATTTCCTAAAATTCTCTCCCGTCGGACCCCTTAAAAATAGCAAAAATGATCATGGACCCTTTTGTAAAAATAAAAATGAAATATAATAATGTATAATAATCATAATTATTTTATTGCTTGATTTTCTTAACTAAATTTACGTGTTTTTATGATATAAAATTGAATAAATAAGAAAATTAAATGGATAAAATATATTATATAGTTTGTATAATTAATAAAAACAAAAATTCAATGTGATAAGTAGTATTGTTTCTTAAATATTAAATGAAGTATATTGGATAGTTAGATTCTTAGATTTGATTCTACTTATAATAGCTTTTTTATAAATATAAGTAAAAAATATTTTTTCTTAGACAAAAGTTGTTTAAATACATCAACGGTTTTAGGTCTTATTGCTTCTTCCGATTTTTTTTGGATAGTTACGTCTTAAATTCAACGGTTTACTTATATTTAACAGTATTTTTTAGTGTCATACAAATATTTCATAAATATTTTGTTTTTAATATATACTATTTTTAATTTACGTTTGCGGGCCTCATCTAGTAATTGCGCACTTCTTACTAGAGCTATAAATTATTAAAATTACCATTTATTTTACTTTATTATATTGATTTAATGATGAAAATATTATATTTAAATGAAGTGAACATAGGAAATTATAATGAATAAATATGAATTTGGCCCATAATAGCAAAAATTAAAGTTAGACTCCACCATCCTAATATTTTTTTCCGATTTAATTACGTATAGTGACATTGTATAATTAATTTGAAAAGTTAGAAAAAAGTTGAGAATTAATTTGGAAAATAAAAAATAGATATGCTAGATTAAGTATACCATAATTTAAATATATATATATATATTTAGTTAGATAATTATTAGTTTGAAATAAAAAATAAAATGTAAACCGATGCTTAACAACTTAAAAATTATTGTAAATTATTTAATAATATTTTAAAAACATTTAATTATTTAAAGTTAAAAAGAACCATTCCATTTTTGCAAAGTCATTTTAATAATTTAGAAATAAATCTTAAAACTTAAATTAAATGTTCTTAATTTACTACATACCTATGAATTATTTAAACAAATTAGGGCTTGGTTTAAACAATGCACTTTTACTTGGTATCTGAAAAAAATTATTTAATAATTTGAATGGAATCATTTATATCATCATGGTCATTGAAAAGGAAAACTTTGGTTGATTATTTAACTAAGTGTTTTTTTTTTGTTTTTTGAATATATATATATAATTATATAACTAAACTGCTGTGGTAGAAGATAGTCATTTTGACGGCAGTAAACTAAAATAATCTTGAATGAAAAATGACCTACGCACCGAACGTTTAACTTTATCCAGAAAACGGTTGGGTCATTAGCCGTTTTGTCTACATCATTTACTCGATGCCATTCGAGCTTTTGATTAATTTTCAAGTAGGTTCTGGTGGCTTTAAAAGGATCCCCGTCACCCATTTTGTCGTCGTCATCGCCACCACCACTATCGTAACCACTAACGTTCACCTACACCACAGAAGGTTTCATCCTGTTGACGTGATTTACGAATATAATAAGAGAAATCAATACAAACCAACAAATATGTGTGCGTTATTGCTTGCGTAATATTAACAATCGGCAACGGTAGTCGACAATCATCCGTCATCATGCATTGGTGTACACTATTGCAATATATATGATTAATATTATGTACCCGAAGATGGGAAAAAACTATAAAATATTATATTTTCTGTTACAACAACCATCGAGTAGTATCATTGCATACACGAACAAGTATGTGTTGAAAAACCCGTAATTTTTGGTGATTCTTTCGATTCTCTGAATTTTTTCAATGACATAACCTAATATTAATTTTATTTCATTATTAAGCTATCATAGTTTGTTGAAATAGCTAATAATATAAAAAAAACATACTACCTATAAAACACTTCCAATTTTAATCATTAAATAACAACTTTTGATAATGCCATATATTAAATTCATATATCATATATATTATTATTTCATATTCGTTTGCTAAATAAGTCAAAGCAAAAAAATGGTTTGCATAAATGCTCAAGCATTTGGGATTTATAGCATTATTTGGACATATAATCTAAAAATAAAGCATTTATTTACTTTTATTATTATCAGAAATAATATATAAAAATATATATGAATAATTGTATTAGATGAAATGGTCTTAAAATATAATATTTAAAAATTCCAAAAATCAGATTATAAATAACTGCACTATTTAAAAAAATGAGTGAGCATGCTTGTTAAATCAATCTGTATAACACGATAATTTCATACTAATATTTTATAACATTGAATTTATTTTATTTTACTAAGTTAAAAGACTATATAATTTTTTTTTAATTAATAGGTAATAAATGTATGATAAATAACAATATGTTCTGAACCAAAAATTACAAATAAACTCTATACTAAAATTATTTATTATTCTTTTATCAAACTTTTTACGACATGAATTACGAGAAAAATTACTTTTTATGTTGCCTAACCAAAAACAAAAACAGTCTATCTAAGTGTATTTTGTATGATGTTGCTAACATCATACTTTACTGAAATAAACAACACATCTATTCTTAAAGACCAAAAAATTTATCATCTAATCATTCTAATGAAAAAAATCATAGCATTGAAATAATTTAATAAGTATCCAAAATAATTATCCCATAGTGTAAAAATCATTTTTCACGATTTTGAATATTGTGTAGTACTTATATGAATACTTTGAGTAACAAAAGAAAAAAATTGTTGGTAAAATATAAATTAATAACAATAATAAATTTTAAAATTACATTTATTTTTATGAAACATATAATTAAAAATAACTTGTATAAATATTATTTAATAATATCTAGATAAATTTTCCAAATGTATAAACACTTTTATTGATTGTAGAAAAATGTATTTAAAATAATGAGACGACATTTTAATATAATTTTTATCATAGTCTAATCTAATACACTTGAATGAGTTCCTTTAGTTTACGGACGAATTCAGTCATTCCGGATGAATTAATCTTTTACATTTATTTTTGCGTGTACCAGTTTTTTAATTGTTTACAAATGTTTTAGAACATACAAAAACAAAGCTTGTGTCCTCTTATTCCATCTAAATCTAATAATAATATTTATAAATATGGACTTAAAATGATTACAATCTTTTTTTTTTTTTTTAATTTATCTTGTTTTGAATTATAAGTGTCAAATATATTTATATAGTTAAATAGTTTATTATCTATTTAGTAATTATCTATGCAATGAATATGTAATGATTAACTGGTCTTTGTAAATATAACAATAATTTATAACATTATGGTTAAAGGCTTAAAACATTAAATTCTGAATTAAAAATATACAATATTATGGTTTAATGATATGACTTATAAAATAGTAGCTTACTTAATTATTTATGAAAAGTACCAGCTGGTTCCAAAATATAATAAATAGCATTGTATAGAAAATTAATCTCAATATTTATTAACCGGCGTGATATATAGGCAATTTCGGTACAACAACGTCTAAATTACTTACGAAAGGTATTCGACGTTATTTTTAGAAATATAATATAATGAGAAGATTAAATTATATTTTCAATGTGACAATTATGTCATGTCAACTTCTCTCATGAACACCACCGACTAATATTTAATACTAAAAGAGGTCAAATAGGTGGATTTTAAATAGTGTAAGTATTATGGAGCAGCAATTTTGGGTAAGCCACATTTAATTTTTCATATAAATCCGTCAATTAGTTATATAGATTCAATTAAGATTTTTTTTTTATAAACGCCATTTCGATGTTTAATGGTTTGAAATAAAAATCAATTAATTAATAAGACACTAATCCAATCCTTATTTTGTTGACCTTATCTATCAGAAAAAAAAAATAAATATTTTATTTATTGCAAATGATTATTTCATTTTATTTTATATTTGTTAGAATAGAAGTAATAAACATGTCAAAGAAAAAAAAACATTACCTAAATCGTCACTGAAATATAATTTATGTTACGCAGAAATGCAGATGTTATGGATTTCCAAAAATTATCTTTGAATTTTATCGATAAAGTTAATTTGTAACTTACAATGTTTCCATAACAATATTCAATAACATATGTCTTTTAATTTAGTTTTTATTGTCTTTTTATAAAATAAAATCTAATCATGGATCCTTTTGTTCATTTATAATTGTATATATTGTGAACTTAAAATAACATCAATAATTATTTGTTTATTATATATTTTATTAGTGGAAATAATGTGGTTTCTCAAAAATACCTTCGGAATTATAACACTCCAAGTTGGTGTTATTTCCTTCAGTTCAGTTTTTATTGTAAGAAAAAAACTTTTAAGACATTTTACAATGAATTCAATCATGATATTGATAAATATTTTTCAGACTTTGGCAGCATGTATTTTATTAGTTAACGTGTTGTCTCTTGATATGGAAGAGCCAAGTATGAAACATTTATTTATTTCCATTAAATCGCAAATAAAACTATAAATTGACAATTTTTTAGATATTTTACGTGAAACTTTTCTAGGTTGTTCAGTTTTTTCTATTTATAAATTTACTATTTACTATCAATTTTATTATATTGTCTACTATATTAGTGTATTTTTGCTAAGATTATCTCCACAAATGATGTATTTGCTTATATAATACTTTTAATGAACACTGTTATTATCTGTTTATAGTGGCTTGGATTACCATGTTTTTATTTATTTTTACTATGACCGTAATATGGTCGATTGCTTTTATTGGTGCCTATAAAGTAAACTAATTATATTTTAAAAGTGTTTTTATCCATTTAATAATAAAAAAATATATATATTTAGGAACAAAAAAATTTAGTTTCTACGGCTACAATATGTTGGGCAGTCTATTTTGTATTATGGAATGCAATAGTCATATGGTCATTTATTCAACAAAACAAGTAAAAACTTTTTAAGTTTGCGTTAAGCTTAAAACAATAAAATATACATTATTATATTATAATATTATAAGGAACATTTGTATCGGAGCTAGATGTCCAAATACGTTATGGCTAATAAACAATTCATGGTATGAATTAAAATATAATGCGAATGAAGAAGTTAAATTAAATAATAATAAAAGATTGAAGTTAACTGAAGTTAAACGGCTAATCGAACAAATGAAAACTAATAATGAAATAAATATTAAACATAATGAGACACGCGGGACAACAAAAAATCAATGGAGCATGATTTTATCCACATTATTAATAATTTTGTATACAAGTATATATTTTATTTTGATAATATTTAATTATCTCGAAATGTTATGGTTAAATACAAAACCAATATTTTATTTTATCCAATTCTCAGTTATATTACTATATTCATGGATGATTTTAATCAGTTATCTGAAAGAAATTCAGCACAAGATAAATCCACAAACATTAGAATAATTTATTCATTTTTAATACATTTTTAATATTGTATAATTTATCCACTTAATAAATAATATATTGTTAACTATACCATTGTATATTTATTATTTTGTGTGAATATTTGTTGTCAAAAGAAAGTATTTTGAAAATAATTTTTGACTGTTAAATTATCGGGGCATTAAAAAAAAAAATTCTGAGCCGAGATTTTACTTTTTTATTCTCAGTAATTTTTTTTTTTTTAATTTAAGTAATTTAAAACAATTGTAGTATTAATAATCTACTAGAAAACTAATGTTTTCTGTTCTGACAAGATGTTTTGAATACACCTCGTTATTGAATAAGTTACTATGATAGATTTGTTAAATTTTCTTTCAAAAATAAATAACTATTCTATTTCAAATTATTAAAATAGAACTTGAACTTTTATAAAAAAAATGATTCATCTATGTCATTCGAATAGATAAAAATATAAGTATATAATATATTTGTTATAAATAAATAAATAATTTCAAATGAAATGTTTATAAAAGCACTATCTTCATGTAACAAGTAAATCATATTAGTTTCAACTAGTTTGGTGTAATCTAGATTTTATTCTCATTAAGAATAATGGTCCAATACAAAAGATATTCCACTTTTGAATCCAGTCACTAGGAAATTTATAGTTAATTAGGTTTTTAAATTAAATTAAAAACGTTTTCAATAAATCTTTACGCATTTATATTACGATATTCGTATTCAGATCAATTGGACATAACGTTTTAAGTAGATAATTTAATTTACAACCGAAGTAAATAAAAGCAGAAAATTGTTTACAAATCCATTTATCATGAAAGGTTTTCAAGGTGTCTCTTATATAACAAAATGTAGTTTATAAAAAAGAATATTACTTAGGAGTAACAATGGAATATTCTCGACAAACCTTATAAATGTATTCATTACAGGTTAATTTTAGATGATATGAATAGTATTACACTGTTCTTCCATAATCTTTTATGTCTACATGACATATTATCTGGAAAAAATAAGTATAATTATAATTTCTGTTAAACTGCAAAAAATCACAAGATTTAAGTAGTATTTTAGTATTTAAAAATATTTTGACTAAGTTAAATTTATTTTTAATTATAAGTAAATTATTTAGAAAAAAATATCTTAATTATTTTACAATAGACCAAAAATGATTTTATTTATATCTTTAATCTATTCAAATATTAGTTTAATTACTTATACGTATATATATATTAGTTTATTTTATTAAAAAAAAACTATTTAATTTAATCTTAGAAAAAATAATTTAATATTAAATAGGTATTTTATAATCAATTCAGTATCTAGACATTTAACGACTCAACGGCAATCGATTTCTAACGTATAATATCTATAATATATAACGTTGACGACAGGCACTGTTGTTCTAATTTCCTAAACAACACCGTAGAAATACAAATTGATTAGTTATCCAACTAACATCGTACCGAGTGGTTGAAATTAAAAGGGACACTAGGCTTTCTCACAGATATCACCGAAAGTGAGTGGTATTCAAGTTAAAAATCTTTACACTATATTTTTTTGGTACGTATTAATAATACTAATATATAGTTTGATACAGTCAAATAGACAGTATAGTAAAATAATTGTGTAGTATGTGAGAAGTTAATTGCAAAAAAAAAGTTTATCGCGTTTTTGGATGAATATTACAGTCAAATTAAAAACATCACAAAACATTTACAATATAAAAAATATCTCCGCGTAACAACTTACCTGAAAACTTACTTTGCACACAATCAGGATGTAACGCCCCATTTCACGTTTGATGTACGCTTGTTAACGCCGTTTTATCCGTTGGTTCGCAGATTAGGACCACAGCACGCGGCACCAGAGTCTTGGCCGGCTGCCGTGCGGTGACGTGTCCGCCGCGCTGAAGGCGTCCGAAACCACCGGAAGTTGAGCATCCTGGTGTCCGGCGAAGCGGGACGGCCTGCGGACAACCCAGGAAACGGAACCGGAGCGGGCGCGGGCGGCGTCGGTGACAATATACGACGGCGGTGACGACGCGCTCACGCCAGCCCGTCCGCGCCCAACGGTCGTGACGCAACGTTGTCTCGGGAGCTGTACCACGACGAGATGATCGCGCCCGGCCATGGCGTTGGTACAAACAATGGTCGGCGGTGGTGATACCGCCGTGCCGGGGCACCGGTCATCATGCGTTCCGAGCGGTCGGAGCGGCCATCGCCACTGTCGCAGCAGCTACCGCGGTCCTGCCACAGCATCCGCAACGGGATACCGATACCGCGGTCGTCGTCGTCGTTGTTATTTCTAGGAGGTGGTCGTCGTCTTCGCCTCCACCACTGCCGTCACCAGCACCAGCGCCGAGCCCGGCTGACGTTCACCGCCGTCGCCGCAACTTGGTGTTACCACCACCATGCGGCTGGTGCAGAGCATTGCGGGCCGACGGGAGTCCGCGGACGCGCAACCCGCCACGTCCACTAGCAGCACGCGCTTGCTTCACCACGGTCAGTCGGCCGACCTCGAACAGATCAGCATTGTGTCGTCGAATGCCACTCCGTCACAAGTGACCTATGGTACTGGTCTGGTTACGGCCAACGGGCCCAGGATAGTACCAGGTAAAGCATTTCACGTTTTGTAGTTTTTATGTTTTTATTCGCAAGAATTTCGTTTCTTCCAAACATAGTGTTAAAAGTTATGAATACGGTTATTTGACTTCAAGTGCGATATAACAATATACCTAAACATTAAAAATAGATTTAAAATTTAATTAGCCGGCTAGACATTTGTATTGATCTTTGAAGTCATCCGTATAATTAATAATATTATATTATAATATTAAATGAGGTAACAAATATCCATAAAGTAACATATGCACCAATGCTCAGATCAATTTCACTAGATGCATATTAAAGTATGATTTGATGTCAGATTTTTAAAATAATATCAATATGCGCTATTTTATCATGTTTTAACAAATTTGTGGGAGAGAGAGTTATGATATTAGGTACATAAGCTTAAAAATGAATATTTACAAAATCAGTTTACCAAAAGATCTATGTGATCTTAAAATCCTTAACCAAAAAATAAATACGTTTCAATATCTTAATAATTTCTAGTCAACAATTAAATTAGTTCAAAGTATTGCAAATTTGCATTTAAAAACTGCATAAGCTTTACAACTTAAAATCATGATTAAAATTAATACTTTAAGACTTTTTATAAAATAACCATATTCAAATACATCACACAGCTTTTTTACATTATAATATAAAAATACAACTCTCTTCACCATAGCCATAGGCCATAGCAAGAAAAACAATTCATCAAAACTTTTTTTTTCTTTATAATATGTTTAACATATTTAATTATTAATGAATAAAGTCGTCTTAATTACAGTAATAACTAATTTCACTTCTACATAATTTAAATATATTTCAATTCAAACGTTCATTATACAATATACATATTATTCAATTAAAATAATAAAAAAATTAATAATATTAATTAAGTACTAAGAAATATATAAATCGTTTATTTTAAATTCACTTAGCTTTAATATCATAAAAGTACAAACGTGTAAAAAATAATTTAACTTATTTTTAAAAATAATTAAAAGACACAAAAGAAAAACAATTTAACCAATAACAATTATATTTTTGAACGAATTTCTTTAACGAGGAAGGAAATTTTTACTATACACTTTCTAAGTATTCATTTTTATTTCTGTTTATTTACGCATGATAATTATTTCAGTTTGATGAATTCAATTGATGATAATACTACATTATATTTTATTACGCACCTATAAAATTAAAAAATCCAATAAATATATGACCCCGTAGGGGAACAAACCACAGTTTAAGAACCACTATATTACAATATTCTTACTGCTTGAGTATTATAAAATAATTGCTTAAAATATGTAAACATCCGTTTTATATTCGATACAAATATTGACATTCCCTGTGAATAGAAATCGGTACATACAATGTAGTTAAATTATTATTATATTTTTAAGTTTTACAACATATAAATATAATATACTTATTATTGTAAATTAATTTATATCGATAAAGATTATTTATTATTTATAAATAAAATATAATAACTAGCTGGCACTTATATTTCAGTTCAATTTCATGTGGCTCATTTATAATTACCTAATATTACTGCTACTAATATAAACTTATTAAAATATTTATAAATAGGTATGAGTTACAAAAATAATTAATAAATCTTAACTAAGCACACGCAATTTTTGAATCATAAAGTGAGAATTATAAATTGTATTTATCAGAAACTAAACAGCTAAAACATAAAACTACACACGTTGTTTTCGTCCAGTAAAATTATGGTTATCATAAAACGATTTCCATTAAGGTCATAATCATTTATCGTAATATATGCTAATTTAATGTATTTTCTAAGCATATTATAATATTATATATATATATATATATATTAAATTAATTACAAATTGTCCATCTCAATGAAACCTTTACATATAATATACCTACCTTTAATAATTTAGTGGAATAACTACAATAGAATAACTACTAGTGCATTGTGCATAGTTTCAATCAAAACATTAGAAGATATTTTTTATCCAAAAAAATGTCTCTACTGCCATTAGATTCTATTGTACTGTATTAACAACATTATACACAAAGCATATTATAATAATTGAAAACGCTGCCGCCGTCGTAGTAGTCAACCATTCTATATTTTTTATACAACTATTGTTTTCAAAATGTGTTTAAGCTGAACAGACCTAATGCAATGCTCTTTTGTTAATAGCATTATAGCAAATCTTAAAACGGCTTAATTTTTTATTTTTTAATGTTTATAATATGTAGAAAACTAGAACGTCTTTTTATTCCCATGTTGAACTTAGTTCGTAAAACTCGCTGTTCCGAATCATGTGTATACTGAATAGGTATTCACAACATACATTTTGTTGTTTTAATAATTATTATATAAACTACCGTTGTTAGTTATCGTGGTTA